ATTAGTAAAGAAGCAGAATGTGTGATTACAGCTAAAGATAGTACTGCGTTAGACACAGTTATCAGTAACGATGACAGTACCGTAACATTTGATTTATCAAAACCTATTTTGGTAGAAAAATTTGAAGAAAAAGAAATTTCTAATTTAGAAATAAACAATATCAATTCATGTAATAATAAAATTGTAAATTTAAAAAAGATTAAAACAAACCCTAATACTTTAGAAACAGCATTCTTGGATGTAAACGAAGATGATATTAACTATTAGAACCCTCGACCATTCACTGTTGGGTTCTAATTAACAGTGCTGTTCCTAAAGTGGCGCTGGGAAACAGTAACAAAGCCTACACAGAACACGAGGCTAATGGCCGTAGTAGTCGACGCCGATGACACCAAATCAAAAAAAAAAAAATAGTTACCCAGAAGCTAACCAATTCACATCCTAAATTGGATAAAAAATTAGACAAAGTTCAAGTATATAAACTAAAGGTTAATTTAAATAATAAAAAGTTTTCTAAAATAATTTCATATATTCAAAAAGAATTTGCACGAAATAAAATTAAAAAAGGAATGAAAAAGCAAAGACTTTATAAATGTAACAGAAAGAGAATAAAATTTAAAAAATATTCAAACTTCAATAGAAAAAGAACAAGATTCAAAAACTCTTCTTACACTAACAGAAATAAAACTAGGTTTTAAAAAAACAGTCATATTTGTAAGTTTTTTAAAATTTTTAAAATTACATAAACATTTAGACATAACAGAAGGAAATGAACATTTTTAAATTCAAATTAAAAACTCAAATTCTAATGACAATTCCATTCGTAGATTATGCAACAAATTATGGTAAAAATGTAACCAAAACAAGAGCTCACCCCTCAGCTCCCTCAAAACATTTAGTAGTTTTAAAATAGTACATACTGATAAAAAACTAAATAAAAATTATTGACAGTAACTGATAATTTTTCTAAATATAAAGCATATTATTTAAATGCCTGCTACAGCACCGCAAGGCACAGAAGTAGCAGATAATTTATTAAAATTCTTTTCCCATCATGGCGTACCTAAACAAATAATTTTGGACAACGGTACAGAGTTCAAAAACTCAGTTTGGACAGAATTATTAGGACTTCATAAAATAAAAATACACTTTTGAGACCATCCTGAATCTAATGGAATAATAGAAAGATTCCATTCTACGATAAGTGAGCATTTACGCATTTACTCATTGTTTTTCAGATACTCCAATTAGAAATAAAATAATCTATACAATTTTAGCATATACGAGGTCTGATCAAAAAATAACCATTATTTTCAATTTTTTTCAAAAAGTATTTATTTATTCATCAATAATTATCTTGTCCCCTTCAAAGTAATCCCCCTCAGATATAATACACTCATGCCAGCGTTTTTTCCAATCCTCGAAACACTTCTGAAACGCGCTTTTTGGTATCGCCAACAGCTCCTGTTTCGATTTTTCTTTTATCTCCTCAATCGTAGCAAAACGCTTTCCTTTCATCGGTGTCTTCAGTTTTGGGAAGAAGAAAAAGTCAGCGGGGGCCAAGTCCGATGACGGTGGTTGAGGCATGATAACGGTTTTGTTTTTGGCCAAAAACTCACACACAAGCATCGATGTGTGAGCTGGTGCGTTATCATGGTACAAAATCCATAATTGTTTTTTCCACAATTCTGTGCGTTTCTGACGAATTGCTTCGCGCAAACGGCGCATAACTTCAAGGTAGTATTCTTTATTGACCGTACGACCTTGTGGCAAGAATTCATGATGCACCACGCCATTGCAGTCGAAGAAAACAGTGAGCAAAACCTTCACATTTGACCAAACTTGACGTGGTTTTTTCGGTCTTGGTTCTTCTGGACGCTTCCATTGGGATCATTGGGCTTTGGTTTCAATGTCATAGCCATACACCCATGATTCGTCACCAGTTATGACCTTTTTGAGGAAATCTGGATCATCGTTGACGATGTTCAACAGCTCCTGAGCGATGTCCATGCGACGTTGTTTTTGCTCAAAATTTAGCAATTTTGGAACAATCTTCGCTGCCGCACGGTTCATGCCTAAAACATCCGTAAAAATTGCTTGGCATGAGCCAAACGATATGCCAACATCATCAGCAACCTCTCTGATAGTGATTCGACGATTATCCAAAATCATTTTCTTCACTGCTTCAATGTTTTCATCGGTTGTTGACGTGCTCAGGCGACCAGGCGAGCATCGTCATTGACATCTCGGCCTTCCTTAAATCGGTTATACCACAATTGAACTTGTGTTCTGCTCATAGTAGACTCGCAAAACGCCACAGTCAACATTTCAAATGTCCTTGCGCATTTAATTTCATTTTTTACACAAAACTTAATACATTTTCTTTAATCCATTTTTTCGAATAGTAAAAAACAAACTGACAATCCAAAATGGCTGATATTGCCAACATATATAACAGATATGTGTACCAACATAACAGAAAAAAAATGCGAAAATCGAACATACGTAACTCACGAAATTTGAAAATAACGGTTATTTTTTGATCAGACCTCGTAATAATAACATTCATTCCGCAACGAAATTAAAACCCAGTGACATTATTAACGGACATATTACAGATAACGAACCTTTTAATATAGATTTGGACAGATTACTTTTAAATGATTATGTAAATCAACATAAAAGACAAACAAAAATATTATACACTAAAATAAATGAACTCTTACGAGAAAATAAAAAAGACTATGTCGAAAAAATTAATACAGATCGTGAAGACCCCAAAATATTTGAACCTTACCCCACTGCGTATATTAAAAAGACAGAAAAGTGCTAATAAATTTCAGAAACCAATTGCTATTAAATCAGTAAATAAAAAACGAAAAACTGTAACCACTTCAAAACATGGCAAAATACACATGAGTAATATTAAACGCCCACTGAAAAGACTTTATTCTTTCGATAACTAAATTTTAAATGGAAAAATAGTATTTATATAAAAGATACAATTATTATCCAAATTATTAATATGTATGAGTTATTAAATTCACTTCTGCAAGATATTGAAAACTCGATATCATTTGCACAACTTGGAGTATTACATCCCAGCATAATTACAATCAAAGATTTAGTCAGAATTTTGGAATCCATATTTAAAGATTATAATAAAAATATCCTGCTTTCTTTCTAATAATATATTGCATATTCCAATAAATATTCCTGTAGATTTAACCCTATATAATTTATATTCTATACCTATTTTGAAAAAAGGTCAGTTTAAGGCAATTAACCCGGAAAATAAATATGTTGTACAAAATAAATTGTACTATGCTTATTCGAGTAACTCCAGCCAAAATTACATTTGTGACCCAACCAGTCTCAGAAAAGTAAATCAGAACAGCTCTTGCCAGATCCAACTTCTTAACTACGAAACCACTTTCACATGCCCACATAGCCGTATCACGCCCTTCATTTACGAGGTTAGAACAAACGAATCAATGGATTTTGGTGCTACCCAAAGAAATTACGCTAAGCCTTAAATGTAATTCTCAAGAAGAAATAATTAAGCTGTTTGGAACCTTCCTAGCAGTAATTCCCATAAATTGTCAAATTATAACTGAGGAAGAAACCATTGTTAATGCTGAGTCAAATTCATTCGAAAATCAACCAATTTTATTTCCCAAAATGGACGATAAAGAATGGTCCACTCCCAATGTCAAATTGCAACCCATTAACCTAGATGACCTTTAAACTCTACGGGAAAACATAATTCAAAATCAACCAAATTTCGAATCCAAGACCATTCCATATTATTATTAATTATATTATATTAGTTTTCATCCTTATCTTCTGGCTATTTAAAAAATTGAAAAACTTAAAGAAAATCCAAGAGAGACAGAAGAAAGTTTCAACCTACAAGATGTCCATCTTCCTCGTTAGCCCTCGGAACCTGGATCTTCAGGGAGAGGAGTTATATCACCCATACTAATGGAGAATATATAAAATATACGATTTTGCATCGTTAGCATTTTAGAATAGTTTGTTTATATAAAAAGTCTATAATAAAATTTAAATATCAAAAATGACTGTCTTTTTATTTTGCATATTTAAAAGCATATTTTATCTATTGTTAACGCATAAATGCATACATATTTAGACCATTTTCAAGTACATATTTTCCAAGCCCTATTTATTAGGCACTAAAAATTACAGATGGTTTATTCATTGGATAAAGGGCATATGTACAAATAAATGTTTATAGACCCCTAATCTTCTGAAAACTGATATCGTTATATTTGTTTCTCTTTGAAAGCAGGTCCTATGTTTTAACAGATGTAAACAGACGTGCGTCATTAATAATTTTACTTGTTTTTTCTTGTAAGTTTCAGTCTGTATTAGTACTTATAAATCTATGGGCTCCTTATCCAGTTCAACGAATTATTGGACATTATTTATTTTTTTTGTAAAAAAACTAAACGTTTTTTAGGTTAAATTTTATATTACAAATATGTTTTCAATAAATACATATTCGTAGGCAAAATGTTGTTTTATAATAACCCTTATTCTGTATTAAACTAAGAACAAAAAACTTTGAACTGGTTTTTCTCGAAAACAACATTCAAGTAGCTAGGCCCTTCATCAATTCATGTCTTCAATTGTAAAGAATACGCCCTATTTATTTTTATTACGCATACCTATATGGCTATAAGTTATTAAAAAAACAATTACATATGATATCCACTTATCTACTTTCAATAAAAGCTAAAGTCTGAATGTATTCTTTCGGTTTCCTAAAGAGTGCACAATTTGAGACATGCATATTACAAAACATAGGCAATGCATTTTATCATTCTTTGCTAAATTTATCCTATTCCAAGGGGCGTATCTCAAGAGAAGACATTTATAGAAGAAAAAAACTGTTTTTGTGAAATACCTTGCTTGATGTTCCTCCAGTTTTAAAGAAGAATTTTACACACTCACAAAACAATAAATAACAATATTACCTTTATTTACTTCGCCTTCCATTGATAACATTCCTGTTGACAGGGATGAACTTCTGAGTTGATCCCGTGGTTCAAATCCAGACTGCCAATGCAAGCGGTCTACTAGGAATATGGATCGATTCTTGACGCCTACGCTAAACGACCAACTGTCAGGACGCAGGATACAGGATATCTTTCGATATTTCCCATAAAGAAATTAACGTAAATTAACGAATATTAAAGGAGGTGCACGACACACAGCTGACTTTGATAAACTTTTGTTTACAAATCGCAACTGCACTCAACAGTGTTATTGACTTGGCTGAACTTGATAAGTTAATATAAATAAATGAATGAAAATGGGGATTGAATACAACGCGCATGTAATGTGCTTTATAGTGCTGGGAATTTTATGAATAACTAATCAATCTTTTGTGAGAGATCAAACTTGAGATTGGACATGGATATTCGTTGATTTTTAAAGGCGGAAACGTTTATAATTTTCTGGGAAATTGAAAATCGTTTTATTTATGGAGCTAGTATAAAAAATAATACGGCCATTGACTTTCTGATATTTAATAAACAAAGCAATACTTCTAATTTCATATAAAAGTCTCTTCTATTAAGAAATCAAAATTTCAAAGCTGGTAAACATTAATTTCATTATATTTTTATTTTCATAAAGTACCTACATGGTGGCCAAACGAAAACGAACTACAGAGCCATTATCAGAAACTGCGTCAACGTTTTATAAAAAACGCTCGGACCCGTCACTCGACTATTACTGTTTAATTATGAAAAGTATCAAGTATGACACTTTATAATTTTATGTAGGATTCAGCAATATGACTTTTTACTGCGTTACTTTTGATTTTAGCGTCCCCTAGCGGTATAAACAACTGTTAGGTACCTACATACTTTTTTTTTGTCGGGTGGAAATCCTTTACGGACACCAGGTACAGGTTCCTCCTTTCCCTGGTAGTGTGGTGAACTCCTGGCTCAAGTGTGCAAGTCCAGTATACTCCACTAAAACCACCTCACGCTACACTGGTACCGGAACTGTCCTCCAGAGGACTACGGTGGCGCAGGTATCTACGGCGTCGCATTCATTTGCGAGCCAATTTTATGGTAAACGAGACACGGTTTCAGATCCTACGGAATACCATGCGAATTTATTTGCATGGTTCTCTATAGGATTTGATGGATGCCGTATTAGCAGAAATTTAATTTCTGTTGATATGACATCCAGATTATTAAAAATCACCATGCGTTACCGTTTTCGATGATGGTGGGTGGGGTTTTCCGGGTTTTCCTCACCTGTAAGTCAAATGGCACCATCAATCATCTTTAAATTGCCCCGGAGCGCTACGGCAAATAATAATAGCCGTCCCTTTCCCCTGACAAGCTGAGGTTAAAATTCACTCGTAAGGGGGTAAATTAGAGAGAGTATTATTATTATTATTATTATTATTATTATATTACTTCATGTACCTACTGCGGTCTTCTATTTTCAGTTCTGTCTTGCTTTGTACTCCCATTCTTCCTTCTCTTTCTCGGCCATTAACCTCGCTATTATTTTAGAACAGACTGCCCTTTCACCTTGCTCTCAATGAGCTTTTCTATAATATTCTCTGGAGTTAACGGATGTTCTAGAGTGGATTCAAGTGGCCTTCTTTCTTGCTGCTATCTGAGGCACTGAAAAAATGTGTGTTCCACCGAGTCTACTTCTTGACAGTATCTACACCGATTATTATTTGAGATTTTAAACCTGAAAGTGTATTTGCCGAAAGAACCATGTCCCGACAGAAATTGCGAAATACAGTAATTTGTGTTTCTGTATGAACATTTTAGCCACTGATCAATATCAGGAATCAGTCTTTTTGTCCAGGATGCCTTCAGGTTATTTGCTTCTTATGCTTTCTATTCTTTATGTGTTCCCTATCACACTTGTCGGTTCTCTGTTAAGTAATCTTCCTCTTTCATTCACCAGAATATCAATAGGGATGACCTGTTAAGCTTCTGCAGATACGGTGCGTTAAGCCGACGGTAGCTACAGTAGCATTTTTCGCTGTACTTTAAGAAGTAGGCCCCTGTACTTTTCTACATACATTGCTCCTTTCCAAATCGGTGCTGCGTATAGCTCTGCAGATGGCATGACGCCATTTAACAACGCTCTTTTCAGTCCACTAGGTCCATCCACGTTAGGCATTATTTTAGATAGGGCTGCTATCTGTTTTTCGGCTCTAATTGCAGCATTTTTGACATGTGTTCCAAAAGTCAGTCGTTCATCTACTCACACGCCCAAATATTTGACTTCCTTGCTTGGGGTGATTGTTCTGCCTCCTAGTTGAAATCCTATTCCCATCCTGTTTCTTTTTTCCCTGACTACGACCGCTTCTGTTTTCTCTGGGGCCAAAGTAAGATTGTTATTGGTCATCCATTCTTCAATACGTCTTAGCACTGAGTTTGCAATAGGTCATTTCCTTTGCATCGAAAGTGTAGCACTGAGCTACACCACTTCTGAAAATATCGTTCCATTTATACAAATTGTATGAATGGAACGATATTTTCAGAAGTGACGTAGCACAGTGCTACACTGTGGATGCAAAGGAAAAGACCTAATATGTGTTAGATCGTCTTTTGAGTTTGCGCCTACCACCAGAGCAAGGTCATCTGCATTTGCCACTGTCCTAGAGCTTTCCCCAATGTTAGGTACATACTATAAAGACGCGAATCGTTAAGAGCTGCACATAAATCGTGCAATTATTGCGGAAAAAGTAAATAAAATAACAAAATGTACCTCATGTGATGGATGATTTGTTAAGTCCAAGCATCAGCATCGACCTTTTAAATCAGGGTAATTCATTACAAAATGAAGAAATAAATATCCAGAAATTAGTATGAGAAAATGATATGCTAAAGAAACTCTTATTCGAGGCAGAAAGCAAAGAATTTTAGAAAATAATATTAGTCTACACAGGAAACAAACAATTATTACAAGAAAAGGTTGATAAATTACAAAAAAGCACAACACAAACAAAAACCAAGCCTATAAAGTAAAGATAAACACAGAACAACCTAGGTCATGAATCAATAAACCAAATAACGGCAACATACAGGGCAATTCAACAATAACAAATCCAATAATAAAAGTAAGTCAAATTTAGAAGAGGAACAAAGGAAGAAGGCAAATGAAATTATAAATATAAATGAAGACTTAGAATCAGACAGGAAAGATGAAGGATATAAAATAGTGACCAAACAAGACATTTAAAAGACGAATTGAAAAGGAAAACTAATCGGAAAAGGACAATCAGAAAGCAAAGATTTCGCAGTGGGAAAAAAGGTATAGCTGTATTTATTTAGAATTAAAAGAATTAAACACATTTTAAAGAGGCAAATATAGAGATCAAGAGTTACCAACTAAGGAGAACCAAAGAAAATGTTTCATGTTTGGTTTAGCTTTGATTTCAGCTTTAACGAAGAAATATACAAACCAACGGCATGGCCAAAAAGTGTTGGTTTTAAAGGATTTGATTTTCAGAAATTCAAAGAATACCAAGATAATAGACAAACGGATTTTCTGTAGGCACTACATTTAAAGAAAACCTAGCTACTGGAGACAAAAGCAACAAAGGCAAAAAATTACAAAACAGTAAAGTGGGTGAAACAATCATTTTTCACCAGAATGTACAGTCTTTGGGAAATGCAGTTGACAAACTAGAAGTTTTTGTAAATTAATTACATAACCCTAGAAATCTATGGGACAATTACAAGAAATTGGTATAAAAAATTTTAATCTAGCATCAGCTTTCTGTCGAGAAGAAAATAAACATGGAGGAGCAGCAATTTATTGTCAAAAAGGACTAAAATTTAAAGAAAAAAAAGAATAACAGGATTGTTAATTAGTGAAGAATTTGAAGTAGCAGCAAGTGAATGTTTTGTAGACAGAGACCAAATGCTTGCCATTGCAGTTTACAGGCCTGGAAATGGAGACTTTTATAAGTTTAAATTCAAAATTCAAAAAAAGGATTTTGTAAGTTTACTTGATTCATTTAACTTTAAAATATTAATAAACGAACTGACACGTATTACAATAAACAGAAAAAGTTGCTTAGAAAATATTTTATCAAACCATAAGGGTAATTTCTCAACAATGGTGGTAGAATTACATTGTTCGGATCATACTGCTCAGGTAATAAGAGTTCAGTTAAGTGATAATGTCAATACGATTTATCATACTTATCGTAGATATTTTACAGAGGAAAACATACAAAAATTTCGTTTAGATCTAAGCAAGACTAACTGGGAAGAGATAGTCAATGTAAACAGCATGGAAATAGAAAAACAATGAGACTTATGTTATGTTGGGATTAGGGTGTTAATACACTGCGACCTAAAAGATCTATTGTACCCTTTTCTGTCGCTAATTCATCAAGGAAATGTCTCAATGCCTATAACGACCCTTTCAATCCTATCTTCTCAAGGAAGTGTAGGATTTGGAGTGGCTTCAAGTTAGGTAAGTATCCCTCTTCTATTTGATATCCTCCTTGGTATAGTGCCCTTGGGTTCTGGAGTGCTACACATTTAGTTAGAATATGAATGGAGGTTTCGTCCTCCTCCTCACAGAATCTGCACTCACTATCCTCTACTACTCTCAGTTTACTAAGATGTCCTTTTATTCGGCAATGCCCGGTAAGGATCCATGTTACAATACGTAGCCTAATTCTTGCTTAGGCAGATATGGGCTTCCAATCTTTTCTGGTTATATTTACCCAGAAGTATCTTAGCCTGTCTTAGCCACAAGAGATTATTCCAATTATCGGTTCTTCTACTGCCCAATTCTTTTTTAATATCTCCTAATATTATGTTACTACTGATACCGCAGAACGGCTCAGGTCCTACAAAGGGTGTTTGAGCCCCTTTCGTTGCAAGACTATCTGCAATCTCATTACCCTGTACCCCGTTATGTCCCGGGACCCGAGTGAGAGTAACTCTATTTTTTTCGCCTAGCTCATTCAATTGTTCTAGTCATCTTCAGACCATTTTTGAGCTGATTACGTAGAGCTCAGCGCTTTGATTACTGCTTGGCTATCGGACATGATGATAATCTCTTGTCTATGATAGTTTCTCTCGATGTTAAACTGGATACACTTCATGATGGCGTGAATTTCCGCCTGGAAGATGCTAGGGTATTTTCCCAAGCTTTCGGAGTGCTTGGTTCTTGGCCCATACACTCTTATTTCAGTTCCTTCTATGGTTTTGGAACCGTCCGTATACCACTGAATAGCATGTCTTTCGGTTGCAATC